GCTTAGTGGCTTCCTCCATGAGTGGGCTTCTCAAGAGGGAGAAAAGAAAGGTTGAAGCACACAGGGCTGAGGAAAGTGCAAGATGCACATAACTCAGAAGTTCTTGCCTAATTCTTGACATAGTATGTGCCAAAGAAGTTTATTAAATCCATGATGTACATTCCTTAGTGATTTGGGGTTACACTGCAATTTGGGGCTATCCATGACCATGTAACTATCTCACCCTATTACTTACCGCATTGTGTTTAAGTTTCAGGGGGCAAACTGTCAAGAATTCTTTTATCTTTTTAAATCTACTATATTGAAGAAATCAGGTGTATTTTTTTTTAGTTTTTTTAATGTTTATTTTTGAGAGAGAGAGAGAGAGAGACGGAGACAGAAGCAAGTGGAGAAAGGGCAGAGAGAGAGTGAGACACAGAAACCAAAGCAGGCTCCAGGCTCTGAGCTGTCAGCACAGAGCATAATGCAGGGCTCAAACCCATGAACTGCAAGATCATGACCTGAGCTGAAATCCAAAGCCTAACCGACTGAGCCACCCAGGCACCCCTCGGGTGCATATTTTTATATAAATGTTGATTACGACCAGTCTTTAAAGAAGATCCTAGAAGTTTACTGTGAATCATTTACAACAAACAACATTTGAGACATTCATTATTCTCTTTAATAAAAGCCACTATTAACATAATACAATTTGTTTAAATAATATTTCAGAAGTGTTAGAGACAGCAAATTAAACAATGGGTTTATTATGTGCTACAGGAAAGGAACAGATTTTTTAGTACTAGAAAAATTCTTATCTTCTCCTTGGGTGTCAGGAGCTTCAAAACAGTTAGTTCAATGAAAAGAAATGCATTTGTCTTAGATACTTTTCTTGAACCTTCAAAATCCAACTAACAAGTACTTTACTGATAAGCTGATCTTCTGTTCTTAAAGTGAAAAATCATATTTCTGTTCGTATAATTTTCTTTCTTTCTAAAGAAGGATTTATGTGATTTTCTTCCATACCCCAGTTGACATAATTTGAAAACACATTTTCATGGTCCAGGTAATTTTCATGTTCTAATAATCCATTACAGAGCATTAAACTTAGGGAACAATTCCCTTCATTTAATAAAATACACATATGCCTCGGGCACCTGGCTGATTCAGTCAGTGGAGCTTTGTGACTCTTGATCTTGGGGTTGTGGGTTCAAGCCCATGTTGGGTGTAGAGATTACTTAAAAATAAAAATCTGTAAAGTATACATAGAGATACATATACATATGCCTGAATAGAAAAACAGAAAATGAGAAACCAAGCCCCTTAAAACATAGACATAAGTTTTAGGATCAAAACTGAAATACCCAATATTACAGCTATATTTAAAAGTTCCTTGAATTATTTTGGCAAATGGGGGTAGGGAGAAGGCAATAAAAAAAAAGTATAACTATCAGAAAAGAGAAAGAATTCTCACATGAGGGTCTATTTAAAAGCTTCGGGATATCAACTAATCATAACTCATCAGAATATTCACTGAGGGGCTAGTTATGAAACAAATTATCCAAATTACTAACTTTCCTATATATTAGCAAAACCCAAAAACGCGATGAAAAATTTAACTCCAAAAGCAAAACTCTTTACATGTAAAGAATAACCACTATCAATAAACTTAAGAAATGTGGAGGATATACTTTGAGAGAAAATTACAAAACTATGCCATAAGACATAAAGGACGATTTGCACCAGTTTCCAGGAATGTTCAAGAGTTGTACAACTGAAGTCCTCCCAGGTCCACTGAGGCCCCACGGAAGGCCAAAATCAGTGACACCGTGATGCCCAAACGCAGAGAAATGGGCTTCCTTCAGGATCCTTCAGGTCATCCATCAGTGGACAACAGGTAAGAGACCATGCCAAAAGGCATGACCTGGGCCATTTGTCCATGTTAGTTCACACACACACACACACACACACACACACACACACACACAAGTGGAGTTGAACTATTTCCACAGGCTGCCAGGTTTCCTGGGGTGGGACTATGCTACTTTATATTAGTGAAAGCAATGCTTGCCACTGTGAAGATCAACCCCATTTTCTTTTTTTTTTTTTTCTTTTTTAGAGAGAGAGAGAGAGCACAAGCAGAAGAGAAGGGAGAGCGTGAGAGTAAGAGACCGAGAGCGGGAGAAACAAGGAAAGCCCGGGGGGGGGGAATCTTAAGTAGGCCCCATGCTCAGCGCAGAGCCCGATGTGGGGCTCAACCCCAGGACCCTGGGATCATGAGCTAAGCCAAAATCAAGAGTCAGACACTCAGCTAAGCCACCCAGGCACCCCCAAACCCCATTTTCTCAATAGCTGAAGAAATGGAAATTACTTTTTTGCATATGTATAAGTCCAATTAGCCTGGGATAAGGAGAAAGGACAGGAACCAGGTTGATGGGGACCCTGCCATCAACAATACAAATAAGAAGACTCTTATTTAATAAGAGTTAATAAAATAAAAACTGATTTTTTTATAGACCAAAAAAAAAAAAAAAAAACAAAAAACTAGAGTTTTGAACTCAATCTCATAAACAGAACAACTTCCAGGAATGTGTTGATGGCTTTCTCCTTGGAAGACTTCTGCCTAGAAATCTGCTGGATACCATTTTTTTTTTCTTTTTGGATACCATATTAAACAGAGTTTCAAGAGCCATCAAAGTTCTGGCAAGTTTATAATAACCAGAGCCACAGTCTAACCTATACTAGAATTATGAAGAAAATGCACTTAGCTGGGAAAGAATTCTGGATAACTATACTGTGTTATAAAGGCTTTTCAGAATCCACTTCACTTTTCTAACAAAAACAGTGATCATTAAGTGTGTGAAACCAATATTTATTTAGTAGGTTTTTGCCTCCTGGTATATACTAAGGGGATTCCACAAGACAGCTTCTGCCTAGCATTTTCTCCCTATCATGCATGAATCTCTATAAACATGCAAATGGATTAAGGCATGAACTCCACAATACTCTCATTTAAATGAATACATTCACTGGAAGAGTAACGTATCAGTTAAATACTACCACAAAAAAATGCTGCTTAGAAGATTACCCCAAAACCAAGGAACATTACAAGTATTTACTCTCATGTTCATAAATCTGCAGGTCTGCTGAGACAGCTCAGCCTCACACTGTGGGTATGTGAGTCGGTTGGGGCAGCTCTGCTCCACGTCATCATTCTTCTGGGTCTAGGGGAGAACTTAGGATATGTTTATGGCAACACAGAAGCACAGGAGGGCAAGCCAAAACACATCAACATATTTGAAGCCTTTGTTGTCATCATGTTCACTAATATCTCATTGGCCAAAAGAAATCACATGGCCCATCCCAACATCAGTAGGGCAGAAAAATATACTACACCTCTGGTAAGAGGAACCACAAAGTCACCTGGCAAAGGGTGGCTTAGTCAGTTAAGCATCTGACTTCAGCTCAGGTCATGATCTCACGGTTCATGAGTCTAGCCCCTAAGCCTGCACTGTCAGTGTAAAGCCTGCTTAGGACTCTCTCTGCAGCCCTCTCAAAATAAAGAAATAAACTTAAATAATAATCTCTCTGCAATGCCATCAGCAAGAGCCAAATTATGGAAAGAGCCCAAATGTCTATTAACTGATGAATGGGCAAAGAAGAATTCCACACACAATGGAATACTAGTTGGCAATCAAAAAGAATGAAGTCTTGTCATTTGCAAAAATGTGGATGGAACTAGAGTGTATTATGCTAGGCAAACTAAGTCAGGCAGAGAAAGATTTCACTCATATGTGGAATATAAGAAACACAACAGATGAACATAGGGGAAGGGAAGAAAGATACGATAAAAACAGGGAGGCAAACCCTAACAGATTCTTTAATACAGAGAACAAACTGGGGGTTGCTAGAGGGGAGTCAGTGGGAAGATGGGCTAAATGGGTGATGGACATTAAGAAGGGCACTCATTGGATGAGCACTGGGTGTTATATGTAAGTGATGAATCACTGGGTTGTATTCCTGAAACCAATACCACACTGTATGTTAACTAACCTGAATTTAAATAAATAATTAAAAAAAGAAGAATCATCTCTCTGCAACAATCCTCTCTATAAAAAGGTGTGTGTATGTGCACGCGCACACGTGTGTGTGTACAAAATTTTTCTTTCAAACCAGGTAGATCAGAAACTTCCTAGAATTTAAACCTTGAACATAGTGACACAAAACTGAAAATGGTAAGAGTTCACTCATTCTTCTGGTTGCCCTGAAGATGCCATTTTGTGATTACTGCTTCCCAGATTCTCAGAGTTGCTTTATACTTCTGACCCCTCTGAATCCCCCTTTTCACATTTCCTTCAACTCTGTGAACCACCCTTTCATCCTACCAATAAATATATTTTTTTGCTTCAATGAGTAAAATTTATTTCTGTTGCTTTCAAAGAATTCTATCAGGTGCAGATCCCTTTCCATTTTCTATCCTCCAAGGAGATGAGAGAGAGAGAGAGAGAGAGAGAGAGAAAGCGAGTGCACTAAAGATGTCTTAAAGCAAATAATAAGGCATGCCTTCACTCAAGAATCTAGTATCTAAAATCATTTCATGAAAATGACTGTTGCCGTGGCAACCTTTCAGTGTGTATTCAGTGACTTTATGTGCATTGATTAACATTTTAATGTAAACCAAACTGTATTGGCTTATTTGGCCTTGACTCCTTTTTAAATATAGATTGTTCTGTCTCATAAAAGTAATCAGAGCTTCTATTCAAGATGGCTGACTAAACAAGTAAATTTACTTTCCCCCTACAGTTCCTATTGGAACGACACTGTAAAGGAAAGCCCTCCATGTTTATCTCCCACCCACCATTCTATACACCTATACACGCACATACACACACATACACACACACTCATGAAAACCACTAAAGTCCCAAGTCCTGTCATCAGAATCTGTTCTGATGATCCAACATGGTCAATAAGGTTAATATCCCTCCCATTAGTTGGATTAAATACAGTCAAAGTCAAAATTGTGAGACTTTTTTATTAGATTCTGACAAGTTGAATAGGAAATTCATCTGGAAAAGAAACTGTAGACAAGACAATAAAATGTTAAAGAAGAACACTGATCAGACAGGCCATGACCATAGAGAAAGTCAAAGTGGATAGCAGAAAAGTGGCCCAAAAAGTCTAGAGAGATAAAGCTCTAGGGAGAGGTGTGCCTATTTCTCATCCTGCTGAACCACCCACAAGCACTCCCTTATTATCTGCATCCAGGACAAGTTCACCAGAACTTTAGGTAGCAAACTGTTTCCAAGGCCGTATAAACCACTGAGCACCATGTAACATTCATGTGCTACCTGATTCTGAGATTTAGCAGCTCATTGACTCAGAAAACAATTTCATCCTTCCTGAAGAAACCAGTCAGGCAGTCAAAAAAGATAAATAAAAGGAAATAAAGAGGTGGATTCACATGTATTGATGTCAACAATTGATTTTACATCTTCAGAGAACTTAGGGAAAATGTTTAAATATAGTCATAAAAATAAATAGATTTTATACACACACAAAGGATCAAAAGGATGAAGCACAAAGAACAAGTCAACTATAAGCAGCAATCCATCCAATGGCAGCATCTCACACAATGCAAGACCCAGAAAGGTGACATTAGGCAGCAAAGAAACGTAAAGGTGCTGAGTACAAGAGGCACAAAGATTCTACAGTGAAGAAAACAGAGGTGGAAGCTTGTACCAGTTTGTCTCACCCTCATAGGAGTGTCCTACAAGCTCAGCTAGGTGAAATGAAAGTAAGAGTAGAGAAAGGAGGAGGAGTGGGGAGGAAAAGAAGAAAAAGAGTGAAGAATAAAGAAATTCTACAAAACCATGGTAACAAAAATTGAGAGTTTAGTAATAGCTCAATATAACTGAAATAGGGAGACCATAACAGACTTGTGTATGTATTAACATTTAGTTCACCATAAATGTGGCATTTCAAATGAATGAGAATGAAGGCTAGTTTAAAACGAGTTGGAGTTAGATAAAAATTGAAAAAATAAAGATGGATCCCTATGTCACACTACCAAAATTTAAATACCACATATAATGAAGATCTAAAGTAAAAAAAAAAACAAAAGTATAAAACTACCAAAAGAAAATATGAGAACATATGGATAAGGAAGGCTTACTTAAGCAAAATATAAAATCCAGAAACAAGAAATTAGTTTCATAAAACGGAATGCCTGGGGTACCTGCGTGGCTCAGTCGGTTGAGGGTCCCACTCTTGATTTTGGCTTGGGTCATGGTCCCAGGGTCATGGGATCAAGTTCCGCATCAAGCCCACATTGGGCTCTGTGCTGAGCATGGAGCCTGCTGGGGATTTCCTCTCTCTGCCTCTGCCCTTCTCCCCCCTTCATGTTCCCTCTTCTGTATGATGAGAGCATAAAAAAATTAAAGATTATAAAATTAAAAGGTAGTATTTGCAAAATATTTGCAATATAAGTAAAAAATAAGAAAAAAGAGTGAGGGAACTTAATTTTTTTTTCATGTGCAAAGGAATACTGGTAGACACTGTTCAATGTCTCTAATTTACATTCTATGCTGCTTCTGTAATAATAAAAATTTTAGTTGAGCATGGATTTGCCAAAAATAAAGGTTATATCTCACAGCTGCCCTTAAAGCTTGGTCACCTTTGGCTTGTGGCTGAATTTTGGCCATGGTAATACAAAAAGAAGAATCATGGAGGAGATTCCAGGAAACTTCCTCAAAGAGTATGTGTGAATCCTTGATCCCCTTCTTCACCTTCTCTTCCATCCTCCTGCCCAGAACACAGATGCTTCCATCTTGGACTTGTGATCAAGGTGAGGAGTTGGATTTGTATAGGAAGGAGTTCCCCTTATCCTGTGGAAGACAGTCAAGAATGGTATGCATGTAGATGAGTGGCAGCAAAGGGATGGAAAGTTGAACAAAGTAATACTTACTGGTCTCAATGTGCTTGATGAAGCAAGAGAAAACCTAGCTAAGAGTAAGGGAAGTGACAACTTAAGGACAATGGTACCGACATGGCACTGTTCTTGAAAACAATGAAGAAAGAACCTGAAAACAACAATGCCACAGAATGAAAGGAGAGCCTAGCAAGAGTTTAAGGCCATAAATGTGTAGTGGTACCAATCTGCAAGGTTTATTACAAGACCTACTGATACTTGTCTCAAACATCGACTAGTTAATCTGAAGATAGAAGCAAAGGAAGCAAATTGAGGCATCAATCCATGGTTGGGATATAATAGAGTGGGTTTAGCAATAGAATAGAAGTAAAAGGAGTATTTATGGGAGAACATTTTTTTAAGATTTTATTTTTAAATAATCTCTACACCCAACATGGGGCTAGAACTCACAACCCCGAGATCAAGAGTCACACACTCTGGGGCACCTGGGTGACTCAGTAAGTTGGGCGTCCAACTCTTGATTTCGGCTCAGGTCATGACCTCACAATCGCGACATTGAGCCCCACATCAGGCTCCATGTTCAGCATGGAGAGATTCTCTCTCTCCCTCTGCGCCTCTCCCCACTCACATGCTCTCTCTTTCTCTAAAGTAAGTAAGTAAATAAATAAATAAATAAATAAATAAATAAATAAATAAAATAATAAAAAGAGTCACATACTCTACCAACTAAGCCAGCGAGGCCTCCTTATGGGAGAATATTTTAGATGATCAAACATGAGGCTCATAGTGAAGAAAGAAAGCCTAAGATGGGTTTACTAAACTGGGAGGAAGTGGCAGGACCAAGAAATTGAAGATTTTGACAATGGTGAAAAACAGAGTGGAAATGAAGCTATAGAAAAGCTAAGGGCTGGACCCAAGGATCAGGATACTTGAATTTTACTCAAAAAAATGTAATGAAAATTTTCTTCTAAACATTTCTTCTGAGGTGCCTGGGTGGCTCAGTCGGTTAAGCATCTGACTTCAGCTCAGGTCAGGATCTCGTGGTTCACGAGTTTGAGCCCCACGTCGGGCTCTGTGCTGATAGCTCAGAGACTGGAACCTGCTTCAGATTCTGTGTCTCCCTCTCTCTCTGCCCCTCTCCCACTCACACTCTGTCTCTTTCTCTCAAAAATAATTAAAAACATTTTTTAAAATGTTTAAATATTTCTTCTAAAAGGAAGATGTTCTAGCCAGTTCCAGAATATGACCATGGAAAAGACAGGAAAAGTGTAGCACAGTGGTTAAAAGCACAGACTTTGAGCCAGGAAGAATTTCTGTTACTAGATTTCTTATTTATCTTCACCATGCCTGTTTGTAAGATTGTTGTGAGGAATAAAAGAAATAAGTTGCTTAAAGAGCTTTGTTCAGTGTCCAGCACATAATAAGCTTTCAATAATTGATAGATTTAAAAAAACAAAAAGGAGAAAAAACACAGACATGCCCTATTATTCTGTCTACTATTAATTAAGATACACAACACATTATGAAGTGGGAAAATGTAAAACCTTTAACACTGATGCTAATTTTGCCTATGGGCAGCAAACATTTCCAAATTGTAATCAAATATCTAATGAGAAACAAGTGAAAAGCCTAATCCAATCATGAGCTCTTCTTTTACTCTGATTGAAAATGTCTAAGAAAATGAATACGCACTATAGTTCAGAAGGAATGCCTATTACAATGAACAAAGTCAGCAATTACAGCAAAAACTCAACCCCCTCAACTGAGCCAACATTTTGAAAAGAGGAAAGAAGTATTTTTAATTGAAAGATATTTTTAATGAAAAAGATTTTAAATGAAAAAGAACCGATTTCCAGATAACAAGTAAAAAATAATCGTAAGTAAACAACCATGGAGCCAGTATGCTTAGAGATAGCAGAATTATTCTTGGTAAAGCTGGAAAGGATGTCAGAGTTACCTAGTGCAGTCAGCATGATAGATGTCAGAAAGCTTTCCCTAGTCCATATGGCTTATCACTCTTCCTTCACTCTTTAAATTATCACCTGAAGTATGGGAAATGTGTACTGCACATCAAAAGTATTAAATAAACCAATTCAGCAGAAGCCCTTACAATGCAGTTGGAGAAAAGGTATAGCCCCTGTTATGGGCTAAAGGAATGACTGCACACTTGTTATCTGCTAGTTAGGTTTTAGGGCTAGTTAGGTTTGTTCTGTGATATACCAAAATCCATTTAACTCAAATGGCTTTAGACCACACGACTATCAGGCAATACCTGCTGTTCAGTGCCTGGCACACAGCAGGTACTCAACAAGAGTTATTAAAATCCATTTGTTTACTTAAGTACCCAACATTTAGTGAGTGCCTAATATGTGCCAAACATTATTCTAAACATTAGAAATACAGCAAACCCATTTTTAAATGTTGTCTTTATTTTGGTGCTATTTGCATTATGAAAGTAATGCATGATTATTGCTCAAAGTGAAATACAAAGACATATCAAAATTTTCTTTGTGGTCAAACATGGGATCAACTGTTTTAAATGTTCCATGAACATATGGGGAGAAAAGTGTTTCTTCTCTATTCAAAGGATGAAAGGTCTTTTTCCTATATTTATGAGTGCATGTGCACATGTGGGTGCTTGCATACACATGCAAAAAGTTTACTTATTCTACTGTTCAAGTCCTACGTGTCCTTATTTTTTTACCCCCTGGAGATGTCCAGTTTTGATATGCACACAACAAAATCTCTTACGATAATTATTTTATCTCACCAGTCAATGAAAATGGAGATAGAAGAATCATACAACAATGAATTGAGTTGCAAGAGCTGAAGTAATCCATTTGTTAAGCACCAAATGAATCAGGAAAACATTAAATGAGTTGTTAATAGAACTGTTTATAGCCAGGGGCGCCTGGGTGGCTCAGTCGGTTGAGCGGCCGACTTCAGCTCAGGTCATGATCTCGTGATCTGTGAGTTCGAGCCCCGCGTCGGGCTCTGTGCTGACAGCTCAGAGCCTGGAGCCAGTTTCAGATTCTGTGTCTCCCTCTCTCTGACCCTCCCCCGTTCATGCTCTGTCTGTCTCTGTCTCAAAAATGAATAAATGTTAAAAAAAATTAAAAAAAAAAAAAAAGAACTGTTTATAGCCAGACTTCAAGCTGTATTACAAAGCTATAATCAGCAAGACAGTATGGTACTGGCACAAAAACACTCAGATCAATGGAACAGAATAAAGAACCCAGAAATGGACCCACAAATGTATGGCCAACTAATCTTTGACAAAGCAGGAAAGAATATGCAATGGAATAAAGACAGTCTCTTCAGCAAGTGGTGCTGGGAAAACTGGACAGCGACATGCAGGAGAATGAACCTGGACCACTTTCTTACATCACACACAAAATTAAACTCAAAATGGATGAAAGACTTAAATACAAGACAGGAAGCCATCAAAATCCTCGAGGAGAAAGCAGGCAAAAACCTCTTTGATCCTGGCCACAGCAACTTCTTACTCAACACATCTCTGGAAGCAAAGGAAACAAAAGCAAAAATGAACTATTGGGACCTCATCAAAATAAAAAGCTTCTGCACAGTGAAGGAAACAATCAACAAAACTAAAAGGCAACTGACAGAATGGGAGAAGATATTTGCAAACAACATATCAGATAAATGGTTTGTATCTAAAATCTATAAAGAAGTTATCAAACTCAACACCCAAAAAACAAATAATCCAGTGAAGAAATGGGCAAAAGACATGAACAGACACTTCTCCAAAGAAGACATCCAGATAACCAACCGACACATGAAAAAATGCTCAACATCAGTCATCATCAGGGAAATACAAATCAAAACCACAATGAGATACCACTTCACACCTGTCAAAATGGCTAACATTAACAACTCAGGCAACAACAGATGTTGACAAGGATACAGAGAAAGAGGATCTCTTTTGCACTGCTAGTGGGAATGCAAACTGGTGCAGCCACTCTGGAAAACAGTGTGGAGGTTCCTCAAAAAATTAAAAATATAACTACTCTATGACCCAGCAATTGCACTACTAGGTATTTATCCAAGGGATACAGGTATGCTGTTTTGAAGGGGCACATGCACCCCAATGTTTATAGCAGCACTATCAACAATAGCCAAAGTATGGCAAGAGCCCAAATGCCCACCGATGGATTAATGGATAAAGATGTTGTATATACATATACAATGGAGTATTACTCGGCAATCAAAAAGAAGGAAATCTCACCATTTGCAATTACATGGATGGAACTAGAAGGTATTATGCTAAGTGAAATTAGTCAGAGAAAGACAAGTATCATATGACTTCACTCATATGAGGACTTAAAGACACAGAACAGATGAACCCAAGGGTAGGGAAGCAAAAATAAAAAATAAAAACAGGGAAGGGGACAAAACATAAGAGACTCTTAAATGTGGAGAACAGAGGGTTACTGGAGGGGTTGTAGGAGGAAGGATGGGCTAAATGGGTAAGGGGCATTAAGGAATCTAACCCTGAAATCATTGTTGCACTATATGCTAACTAACTTGGATGTAAATTTAAAAAATAAAAATAAAATTGTATACTGTAAAAAAAAAAACTGTCTATAGCTAAATACATTGTGGATTAAATGATAAAATGTTTTTTTCTTCAGAAAAATCCTTTTTCTGTTGATGTCAAATTAAATCCCTCAAAACACAACAACTACATATCAGATCATTTACCTCTTCTATGAGTCATAATTATTCCTGTTGGCTCATTTTTAATGTGGGCTTTTGTATGGTTGAAAATGACTGTGCAATTAGGTAATTCTGTTAAAAAGACAAAAATTAGGTTTTTCTCTCCAGAAACAGAAGCCATATGAATACAGTGATGAGAAACTAAAAAGCAGTTCAGAAACACTTTTAACCATAATACAAAGTCCTGTTTGGCTAGCCTACAAACATGATTGTGAGCAA